AGAGGGAGAGGGAGAGAGAGAATCTTAAGCAGGCTCCATGCCCAATGTGGAGCTGGATGTGGAGCCCGATGGAGGCGCGATCTCATGGCAGATTGTGACCTGAGCCAAAATTAAGAGTTGGACGCTTAACCAGCTGGGCCACCCAGGTGCCCCTTTCTTGTCTTTTTGAATCTAGCCATTCTGAAAGTTGTGAGGTTAGATCTCGTTGTGATTTTAATTTGCGTGTCCCTGATGATTAGTGATGGTGAGCATCTTTTCATGTGTCTGCCATATGTATGCCTTCTTTGGGAAGATACCTAGTCAAGTCCTCTGACCCAAAAAATAGCTGTTTCTTAATTGAACTTTAAACTTCTTGAATTTAGACTTCTTTTATCCTCTTCCTATTTAAGTGGCGATGATTTGTGTATTTTATGTCATATTTTATATAACATCTAAGAGAGTTGGCACCCAACTATTTATGATATTATGCCTCATCAGACTGAATCTTTTTTAGTCTAACCAACTGAAGCAACTGACTGAGAGGAAAATATTTTTGAGAAGCTCACGGTAAATGTCAGGGACAAATGTGAAATTATATGTCATTTTTGAGGTAGTGCTTCTGGCAACAATTTCCAGTAGCTGACTTATAAGAATTTTTTTATTATTACAGGATAGCCTCTTGAATGTCATCACCACAATTAATCAACTTCTGCCAGAGCTTCTACATAAGTAGGACTTTTGGTTCTAGCGAAGCTCATCTGAGATGGGGACTTTTTCAAAACCACCTGGGTCAAGGAGAACTTTCAGGACAGGCACAAGCAGATATATCTACATGAGTCCCTTTGGCTCCTATCTTCTTGGCTCATTTCTGCAAGATTAATGTCTAGCCCTTGTTTTTTAAAGGAGATTTTACCTAAAATAGTAGAAAAGTTTTGTGGTTCCACCACAGTGTTCCTGGGTAGGTCTCTAAGATCTTTCTAGGTAGGACTTCTGAGATGAGCAAAATCACTCAGATGGTTAACTGTCGTCAAGTGTAAAAGTGTAGCACCTGAGCTTGGAGGGCTCTGGAAAGTCTCCAAGGAACTTAGAATCTCAAATTATATAAATTTATTTAATCATAAAACTTTGTTCTCTTGTCAGAATCAAGACACAGTCCTAGACCCTTCCTGAGCAATCTATAATTCATTGAGGGTGCCATATCTAGAGGAAGAAGCCAGAGACTGTTTCTATGTGGTATCATAGGAATGCTACCCAGAGAACTTTTGGTTCTTTTCATCAGATTCCAAGAAACTAACCCCCAGCTCTCTCACCCTTGAATTGTTTTCTGCTTGATGGCTCCTTCTAGCAATGCACAGCCTGCCTGGTTCTATCAATTTGATGTTGGTGAGTGATGAGTAAGCAACAGGAGAAACTAGAATGAGCATAGGCTTTGGGTAGGCAGGCAATTTTCAGTTTTTATCCTGACTTTATTATGTACGAACTGTGAGACGCTGTGGTGGTGGGGGTGGTGTGTGTTGTGTGTGTACACACACCTATGCCTACATACACGGAATAGTTGTCTAACCTCTTTAGGACTCAGTGTTCCCATCTTTAAAATAAGAATGTTTTCCTTACAGGGATGTTGGGACATGGAAAGTGTCAAACACCTAGAAAATACTCAGTAAATGTAGCTTCTCTTTGCATAATTTTTGAGGGTGGTGGTAGCCAGGAGTAAAAATCAGGGCATATTTGATTTCATTTTGGTGGCTTCTCTGGTGCAGAGCCTTGAAAAAGTTAGGAGCTGTGGTTGATAGCTGCAGTGGTCATTGCCGGTTCTTTTTTCTGCCAGATTTGTCTTCCAGTAATGTCACATGCACAGTGAGACGTCCTTTTTTTTTTTTAAAGCACTCTTCCTCTATTCTTTTGCATATCTTTTCTGATTGGCTCAAACGTAAGTTCTAATCACTGTTAAATATCACGTCTAGGGTTTAACATGCTTATGATTATAGATGCACTTATAACTTACTAAATAGTAAATCAAATAGTGAAATTCACAAAGGCTTATGTTTTACCACTTAGCGTATTTTGTGTTCACTGAGGATAAAGAATAAAATAGAACAAACACTTCTCTTAAAATCTAATTTGTCAAAACTTATACTTATGAAACTCCATGTAATCAGAAAATCATGATCACCTCAAAGGCAGGAACTATTATTTTATAATCATTATTGAATGGGATTGAATCAGTTTTAGCAAACAAAGTGAGTCAAGCCCATTTACCAAATGTCATTATTTTTATGCCACATTTATTAAATGTGTACCATGAGTCAGACACTGAAACAACATAGGGAAATAAAACATAATTCCCACTCTTTAAGTATGTACTGAGTGCCTCCTTTGCACCAAGGCATTTATGAAGGTGGTAGAGATAATGTGGTAAATATGTCATGAACTCTGTCCCCAAGGAGCTCAGGTTGAAAGAGGCAACAAGGCCCATATATGTGGATCACTTAGAAGCCAAATAAGACATCCTGGAGTGAAGTGCTACATAGTTTGGCAAAGACTGTGAATCAGTAAGAACGGAGCAGAGCAGAGGTTCACAAGAAGTGCCTGATAGGGGAGGCTGGCCTTCATCTGGGCCATGAAGGATGGTGAAGATTTGCATAAGTGCAGAGTGGCAAATAGAGCATAGCAGGTGGAGAGAACATGAGAAAAAGCCTTAGAGGTAGAAGCTGGAGCGGGTGCCGTGAGTGTGGTGAGTTGAGAGGAGAGCGGAGAACCTGCGCAGGTGGGAGGATGCTGGTGAGCAGTAGGAAATAAGGCTGGAACAGTCGGGTGAAGCTCAGTTACAGAAACCCTGGAGTCAGACAAATGGGCTTGAGCCTAGTGAGTCTCTGAGGAAGATAGCGACCGATTCCAGTGTGGCTGCAGTGCGTTTCGGGGGGGTTCACTTGTCATCATCATTTTCTTGGAAGCTTTTCCATGGCTATGTCTTTGCTTGCTGGTCTGCATCCTAGTTAAAGTCAGAATATTCTTTCTCATTTAGGGGAAGCACTGGTTCATCAGACCTTTATGACCAGGAAGCTGGCCCGGCAACTCGGAAGAGCAGCCGGAGCAGTGGAGTGACCCCTGTCACGCAGAGGTCACCGGCTCCAAGC